ACAACATAAAATGTGCTTTTATAGTGAAGATTACAAAGGTTTTAAGAAGTTTAATATGCTACTTCTTAATTGGTGAACAGTACCCTAAAGGATTCATAAGATTATATATAAATAAATAACTGCACTATCATGCAAATATACCATAATATTACTGAAGATGGTTAGTTTCAAATGGGATTTGGATCAGTGGCTGTGATTTATTCTTCATAAAGCAGAACTAGGAGGTATAAAACGGTAAGTATAGTAATCAAGGGCTTGTATTTTGGCAGTGAGATCACTGAGCTGAAAACTGAATATCTTTTGGTCTTTACACTTCAGTTAGCTACAGTCATTTAGGTAGGCTTATAATGTATTTATTGCATATGGTTCCAAGTTCGTTATGACTGTTAACATGAAAGTCAATTTTTGTTCTCTTTTCCAAACCATTAATGTGTAGTCTTCTGTGCATTGGGTGCTGCCTCACCTTACTGCATTAATTATTTGCCTTATTTATGTCTGCTTTTAGTTGTATGGCTGCTAAGGCATTTGTTCTGCAGAAGTAAATAGTTCTTTTTGATCCTTAGACTGTGGAACAGGGATTCGCAAAATGGTTATGTTCATAATAAATTGGCTCTGAATTGTTGGGAACAACTTCAAGGATTTGATTTTGTACAAGCATCTGAAGTAATGCAAAATATTTACTTTCTCCATTTTTCATAATATTGTGTTATGCTCAGGAGCTTTTACAAATTAAGGTGGTAGGTATTTATAAGAAGCCCCAAGAACACAATCAAACTTCCTAGTCCCCTCTCCTTGGCCCATCCCTCAGATACAGTATAAAATGACAAAAACTTACCTGACTTTTTACCAAGTATCCTAATCCAGGAACATCCTGTATTTCTTCAGTTCACCTCCCACTTCCCCAATGAGTTCATGTTCAACACATTTTTCTTAGAGGTTCTGCAAACAAGGGGCCTGATTCAGATCTCACATAGTTTTACTCTAGTATAAGTGAGCTCTGAATTAGGCTCTCTGATTACCTAGCATGAATAATGTCCCTGGTAGGTGTTTCCCAATAGCTCCCAGCAAGTATTGGTTCAGAATTCTTATTCACATGAGGTATCCCAGA